TCTGGTAACTAGTGATTCATAGTGATAGCTGATAGTTGGTAATTGTGACAATTGATAGAATACAACTGCAACAGGCTAATCATTTCATTGGCAGAAAACATTACATTTTGTGAAGGCCGTCGTCACTTGTGGTGTGTGGTCTGCACCTCGACGCCTTCTCGTTTTTTGAAGCAGAGTATATATGTATCCTGCGCGGTCGTCGTCGCGTTAAAAATAGGCACCTCACCACAATGAGCGGTGAATGGCTTTAGGGTCCCCAACGAACCGCAAAATTTCTCTCTTGCCGTTGGAATATGAAGTCACCCTTTCTACGGAAACCAGACCAATTTTAGAACGTCTTGGAGAACCAATCAAGAAAGGAAACACCTCGATAGACCTGCAAACAAGACAACCCGTCACACATTTGTGGTCGGGCTGTGCCGGTAGATGTGTCATTATGCCAACAGTAGGCACTTGAAATGGACCTCTAAATGCTCTCTGGTCTTTTTTATTTGAGTGGTGTCTACTGAGATTTACTCCACCTTGTTTACGAGAACGGCAAGGATAGCGCAACGGTTAGAAAAGAGAACGTGGCTCGATGGCATTCGTAGATTCGAACCCACAGAGGCCAACAAAACCCCTTACATCCTTTCGAGATCACCAGCTTCGAGCTAAAGGGCCAGCAAATGAGCGTCGTATTCGTTGGATTAGCACTATCTCTGGAAAGGAAAGAGAGGAGGAAATTCCTGCGGAAATGGGAGGAATACCGAATTTTTGCGGAAAATTGCGAATTTCAGAGAATTTCTGGAAACTTGGCATTTCAGCCGGTCCCCTTCTAAGCAGGGTCGTGCTGATCCTCAAACTCTGCTACCGTGATGAGCGTGTGGTGAGCAGCACCACTGCTATTCCCCTGCAGGAGTGAAGTATAAATAATAAGAATAGTCAACTAATAATTAAAAGTTAACAAATCTGAGTTGAGGGAATAGTTGCTGGAGGCGTCATATCGCAATTACACTACCAATGAATTAAGGATCCAAACAGCCGCTTTGTCTATGCCCTCTATTAGCTTATCGTTGCCCAATTTATCTTGGGCTTATGCAATGAGCCCATCCTTCTCTAGATTATTTTCAATAATTTTAGTTTACTACAATTATAATTCTGATGTATATAACCATTTCACTTCGCCATTTGTTTTTTTCAATATTATGGTGAATCTTGACTAGCACAACGAGTTTGGCATATATGCTATTTTTGGGTCCCAAAACGGTCCAATTCTGCCGTCGTCCGAGAAGAATGGCCAATTTGTCCGCATAATGATACCCGTAATACAGCATATACGTTTAAGTGGCTATGCCAGCCAAAGGTAAACCAGAATTATCGGGAAACGGGAATAAAATAAATTAATAAAATAGATTAATAAAGCAAAGAAAATGAAAGGCAGTCGCTTTTTCGCATTCTTGCATGTTTCAAAGTGTTAGTGCTAATACCGACACAGTGCGCAACTTGTTAATATAAATGGCGAGGCGAGTACATGGCGCACTCCTAAACAGAAAGTTCCGAAGAACCTTCCCAGTTTTCATCAGAATCTGTATTGTTCAAGTGATAGGTATGGATCTATAGTTAATAAAATGTTCCTTCGGCGTGAAGGAATCCTTTTTGGTTGCGCCACGTATTCTGGCTCCATTCAAAATTGTGATAGCACTCGAATGCAGTTTTGGAGCAGACAGTCACTTGTGTTAAATGAAGGGTAAAAACACCCAGCTTGCTGATAAAAATATAGCCGATATAAAAATGTATAAGGAATCAGAGAATCTTTGAAAGAAGAATGTTAAGCCAAAACGAAGAGAAAAGAATGAGATAGGGAGGGAACACATGCAAATTTTCGCCACCCAAACCAGTTTTGTCCAAAGCGGTAGTTTAGCCCTACATACAGCCGGGAAAGTACAGTTCAGAGCACAGCCGATACAAATATTTATGGACGCCGATTTCAAGGGGGACAGCGTTTCGTCAAGTGCGCAAGAGCGGGCATGTTGACTCAACGCACCCCACCCTTCCCCCACCCCACCCTGAGGGGTGGAGCTATCCCGCTGCGCATCCGAATAAATAAAGCAAACAATACCCAACCTCGTAGAGTCAATAAAAACATCACTGCTGAAACTATCCGTGGAGTCGTAAGGCGATTTAGTGACAGCTTAAAATCGGCACCCTTCTGGTTCTTATTCTATTTTTCACCCTTGATATATTGAGTGGACAAGGGCCAAGGGTTTTTTGAGACGTCTGTTGGTTCAAATAAATCAATATTGATATATGTATTATTGAATATATAATCTCATTAATGTGCCACTGAATCAGTGCTGATTTACTCAATGTAATTTAATGGTAGTTAAAACTGTCACCGGTTTCATCTCTTGCCTCCTTTTCCATTTCTTATGGAAATTTTTATTTGTTTTGTATAACTAGTTTACTTCTTTCTTCTATGAAAGTGTTCAGTCAAGGCCTGGGGGAAAAGAGTTCCAAGAACGTGCCAAAGTTGACATGCTTAGAAGATGCTTCTAATAAAAATTAGATTACTGACTTAGGCGTCATTCCAAACCTGAATATGGGAGGGTCGCTTGACATCCGAAAACTTATTTTCCTGTTTCCCATAAAGTTTATTCTTGTTTAGGAGTGGCCTTTTACCTAGCCTTACCCGCCATTGTCCCTAAGTGAGTCGGCATTTCAATTAAAAACCGACTGAAACAACCCCTTTCAGCTAACCGTAAGTAGCCTTGTGGACGCATTTTTCCATGTTATTATATTTCGACTAAAGAATTGTTAATCTGCTCATATGCGTAATTATTTAGGTAACGCGGACCTCCTACTAAATAAGCAACATGAGTCAATGTCTTTTTCTGGTATGGGTGGTAGTGACATTAATGAATGGGAGCCGCCGTCTTCGGATTTGCCGTCTGGAAATCGGAAAGCCAGGAAGTAAAAATAAATATTAGGTTGGCCCATAATTAGTGAATCACTTTTGAATTTATTGCTATAAATTCCATGAAAAATCTTGAAGGCGTGAAACATGTTTTGCCAAGTAGTGACCACAATGTCCTACCTAAGCAATCAGTCGGCCCGTTCACACGTTTCCTTCCGAGGCTCAAATTTCAAATTTTTCTGAAATCTTCCCCCAAACACGATATGAAATCGCCATGTTCGCTCCTGCTTCCCAGAGTTCTTTTCAGTGATCATCCTGCGTACTCACCAGTGTTGTGAAGTGGGTGGAGTGTGCTAGCAAATTCACAAGGAGCAGCAGAGTAGCTTGAAAGATTGGAGAGTTCTGACAACAAAAGCCCAACCACCTCTGTCGGACCTGTATGTCTGGCACTTCTGAGATTTTAGTGGGGCACAGAACAGACCTGGCGCTGGGAACCAGAGCCTAGTAATACTAGAGTCAGTGAGTAAGGCATACGTTGACAGCATAATGGCGATGCGTTCTATCTGAGGGTAAAGCAAGACAAAGTCTGGTTTTTTCCTGAGGTCATTCGACCCCACCTTTCGGAAAATCTTCATAAAAAATTGCAGACCTTTGGGCTAGCAGTTCTTCCAGCTCTACCGTGAAGCCCTACCCTCGTATCAGCGAAAGATAACCTAGACTTACTTATACCATTATTCTTCAGGAAGAAATTTTACGCCAAGTGACATGACCTCAAACCTGACTTCCGATCTTCCTTTTATCAATATCTCCTGGAATTCCAGAGAGGAGACGGCGACCAAATTCCCATGTGTAGGCAATAGTTTGTGGATAACAAAGGTGGATGATTAGATGAGCAAGCACTTCATATGAAAAAGAAAAAAATTGAAATTGAAAAATGCCCAAAGTGATTCACTAATTATGGGACAACCTAATAGAACAATATCTATTCCAAAAAATCCAGATGAAAAAAACAA